ATCGATATATTTTTGTCAAATTTTTATGATATCGTCAAACATATATTTTATTCAAAAATAAAAACATCATCGCTTTCTCAAAATCACATAAAGTCATATTATAACATCGACTGAGATAAATAATAAAATGAAATATTAAAAACACGATGTATCTCGCTGCATTGCGCGAATACGCTTCTAGTTTAAAATAAAATGTTTATCTTGTATTTGATTATATTTATCTGTAGTTAGTTACACGAATTTATATATGGAGTTTTAATGAATTGTACTTACGCACAATCTATTTGTAATCTTGACTTTTAAGTAACATGCATTAATAAGCAGTACTTTATGCATAAAAATGATTGTAAGAGTTTTTATCAAATACTTTATAATATAGTATAGATAATATATAATGTATGTGGATATATACACAAATATATATACATACATATATATAATATAACTTAAAATAATAATATATAAAGAATTATATATATATATATATATATATATAGGGGAACGTTCAAATAAAAACACTCAATTTGTATAAACCATGAAAACCACATTCAACCAATCATAATTTTTCATTTTGTTCATTTTTTTTGTAATTATGAGAGGTTGATTAACCATTTTATTGTGGAGGGTGTTAATCATGGCTATTATCGTCTTTATTATTTTAACTTTAAATAAATACATGAAACAGTTTCATTAAATATTATATGAAACAATTTCATAACCATATATGAAACAAATTCATCAAAAAAAGTATTATATGAAACAATTTCACAAGATTAAACAATTTGATGAAAAAATTTCATAAGATTAAACAATTAAATGAACATATGAGAGTGGTTTATACGGTTTACACAAATGAGGACGATTTTCATTTGATCGTTCCTATATATATATATGAAATGGGTTGGGCTCACGTGAGACCAGACTGTTTTCGTGAGACCCGTGAGACTACATTTTTACACTTGAAACTTCACAGCAAAAACATTGTGAAGATTTAAAAAAATCGAACCTTCACAGCAAAATATGAAATTATAGGATATATATTAAAATAAAAAGTAAAAATAAAAATAAAAATAAAAATAAAAATAAAAATAAAAATAATAACATATATTATATGATTTGATTGATTTTTACATTTTATATTTTTAATGAGATTTTAATTTCAAAGCATTTGGGTTTGGATTAGCAGTCCGCCACTCCCCCTCTAATCATCAGAATCTTTCTCCGCCACAACTTTGTTAGTTGCATACCAGTTTCTTCATTGTTGGTCAAACCCTTTCCCCTCCCTTTTCCCCCTTTTCTCTCCTCAACCTCTTCTCAATCTCCAGGTTAGGGTTTTTGGGATCTGTAATCATTAACTTGTCGGGATCTCATCCTCATAAAACCCTAATCTTGGACCAACCGATTTACGCCTTATTCTTACGTTTCCCCAATTTGCAGATTTCCTACCTCTGGACCCCAATCTCCTATCTTCATTGTTTCTACAATCAATTCATCAGTTTGCTAATGTAACTTATTCTTATCTACATATGAATGTTTATACGAGCGTATTCCTATTCCTATTCCTGTAGTTATACTGTTGTATGTAACAATTATTTGTGAGATATGAAGCATCCGAAGAAGAAGAAGAGGCCCAGACCTCCAATTTCCAAGTCGAAGCAAACGGCTGGATGTCAAATTCCTACCCCTGGTCAGATTGATGGCCATTCTGGGGGTTTGAATGCTTTGACAGAAGGAATTGCTTCTTTTTCCATTGAGGAAGCGATGGCCTTCTCAAACCGAGACGATGCTGCTGCAGATATCGCTGGGAATTTGACAGAGACGGCTTCCAGTTCGAGTGCTAATCGCGACGATGATGCTGCAGAAATTTTTGGGAATTTGACAGAGACGGCATCGAGCTCGAGTGGAAGCTCTGGTTTATCGAATTATGATGGTTATGATAGAAGGATCGGAGGCAAGGTTACAAAAGGGAGTAGGGGGAACAAAGTGATAGCTGCAACTGGAATGGTGTCAACTGTGATTGGGAAGGATTATGTGCCTACATCTAACAGGAAAAGAGGGATTTCTAAGTGGAAGGGATCTGGTGATGGAGCTGTGAGCCATGAAGATGCTGAACAGTTTTTGTGCTCGATGCTTAGTGACGATTGTGAACTGGGCATGGATTTGGTCAAGGACGTGCTCTGTGAGTACTATTATATACTTGCATTCTATTTATTGAATTAGCATTTTTCTACGTGGCAAGTTGTGAAGGTTTGCTTGTATGGGTTTTGTATGATGATGAAAAGAAGTTCGGCTATGTGTCTCTGTGCATCAGGCATGGCAACGGGGCGGGAGTGGGGCCTATCCCTGGTTCAATAAAAAATGGTGAAAATTGGTTTGAAAATATATAATTTTTATTAACACACACACATACATATGGAGACGGGGCGAGTTGGGAATGCACCCGGCCCCGGCTCCACTTTTCTACTYTTCGGGTCGGGGAAATCACCATGCCCACTGCGCATATTGGTGGGGACCTGTAGCTGGTCTCAGGGTAGCAGAATAGGGGTGGAGACCTGTTGGTAGCATAGCTGTAGGCAGGGCCCATCCTGAGGTTTTTGGTGCTCATGGCGAAAGGGCCAAATGATGCCTCAATTTAAAACGCCTCAATGTCATAATCGACAATTGTCTGGTTTTTTGTTACAAATGAAATCTTACAGTTGGGTGTTTGGTTTCTAAAAGAAATTATGGTGTGGTATAGTAATATGGTTTTGTTATAAAGTTGGTTATAACAATTGCATCCCATAGTGGGAAACCAAACAAGACTACCCTAACCCGCACTAAAATGGAAGAACTAACTCAACCATCCTCCAAATGACAAACTAATAACCAAATAGAAATAAAAAACCAACCACACAACCCCAAAATAAACAATACTAGAGATAGCCAGACAACAAGCCATACATAGATCAGAAGTTGAGCTTATAAACCAAAACCAAAATGAACAGCATCAAGACCACCAACTCATCTATGTGTCCATATTTCCCATATCCCATGACTTCTCTATAAACTATGTCCCACATCTTCCATATAAACCATAATCAACACTCACACATTCTGAATCCAATTCCAAACACTTCCTTGGTTAATTGGTTTTTAAATTTTTTACACTCTTCAACATCAATGGCTCATTTTACCCCACTTTTGTCCTCATACTAGTTTTAGTCACTTTAGGTGTTCTCCTACGTAAATTGGCTACTACGCAAGCCACCAAAAGAATTAAGTTTGTGCATGTACAAATTAGCTACTGCCTACAAACAGATTTAGGTTCTTGAGTGATCTTAGTCATCACTTTGTTAGTCCATCATGAGTTTTATATAATCATATGTAGGGTCTTGACCAATTACCATCATGAGTTTCATATGTAGAATTGCAAGAGTAAGTGTGAACAGTCAAGTGAATCAACTCTTGCCGATCAGGTGAATAACTAAATGAAATTACTGCACATTCAAGTGAACTACTGAATGGAACTATTGCAAAATTAGGTGAGAACATCGATTAACTATTGCACATTAACAGAGTGAAAATAAATTGTTAGTTTAACTACTGCACAAACATTAGAATTTGACAAAACACAACTACTATATTTTAAATCTAGCCTGACCACTCAAATTTACAAGAACACAATATTTGAATTACCTGGCGTTGGGCTGAGTTATGAGTGATTTATATTGTCAAGTGGATTGAAATCGGAGCAGCCAGTCACATGAACAAAGGAGTACTGGTGCTGTGAAGAGGAAAAAGTCGTGGAGGGCTCAAGCCAGAGGCGAGAAACGAGAGGGCAGACAACCTTCACAACCCAAGATTTGTCCGTCTACAATCACAAATCACATAGTTGAGGGAGAGGCTAAGACGTTAGGGCAAAAGAGAGGAGCATCAGCGTAAAGTTGAGGACGGGGAGAGGCTGAGAGAGAATGGAGCCCAAGACGAGCCTACCCAAGCTAATAGGTCATTGGGGGCCAGTGCTGCCCATGGCGGTCGCCCTCATGGCTTATAGCCAGGGCCGGCCCTGGCTGTAGGTAGCATAGACAGGAGAAATAAAGGGTGGGGTAGGGTTAGGGAGCAGGCAAATAGGTGTCCTTCCGTATCCTAAGATAAATTCCGTAACTCCAAGCGGATTGAATTATTGCTTTTTTGAGTTGGGCTTCTTTCCAGCCCGTTTGCTTTTATCCCGTTGATCCATGAACAAGCCCGCCAATTCTTGCATCTGGTCTGCATCACATTCTTTGGAGTAGGAGACAAGCATGCATACATCCCATTACCTAGATCCCAAGTGCGGATGGGAGATGCTGAGCTTGTTTGGTTTGATTTGGTTTGTGTGTGTGTGTGTATGTGTATGTGAGTCTGTCTCTGTCTATACCTATTGTCAGTAGAATGCATGTGTTTTTATGCAAATTCTTTCTGGTGCTCACATCTGTCAACAAAGTAAAAATAAGGGTGGGCAAAAGGATGAATGAAGATGGAATTGTGATCAAAATTCTTTCAAATGTTTGTTCACCATGTTAAACATACAAATTCAATGTTTGTTTTGGGATAGAAATGATACAAAGATGAGCAAGAATGAAAAAAGTTTTGACATGCTTTTTCTTTCTACAATTTATATTGTTGGTCGGAAAATGAGGTATAAATTTCAATGGATCGAAAATATTTTGCAAGTGTCACGGTGTTTCTCATTCTTCTCATTTACTTTTACTACCTTTTGGAGTAGCATTTTGGTGGACTTGAGTTTAAGATAGAGCAAAACACATCATACATTTCTTGTGCCTTGAATTGGCATAAATCGGCCAGAACCTCTGTCTCACAATACACTTTTGACTTCCAGGGCATCTAGAGGAGATAGCCCTTGTTGCCCAGTTTTTTTTACATGCTTCGTAAAAGTCGATTGCGTATACAAGAGAAATTGCTTGTTTTCTTTGAAAAGGTAAACATGTTTCTGGTGTAGCAAGAGGGAGAAGATGGAATTTGTTATAGGAATGGAATGGAAGTATTACTTGATAGATAAATTATTTCATGCAAGTTCTGTTTGTTTCGTATATTTTATGTAACTTGTTTTTACCTGAAAAATCACGTGCTTTGATTTGTGATTGTTAAATATACATGCATTTCTTCACTGAAGCATCCTTATGTTTTTCTTGGCAGGTCAGTCTGCTTATGATGTTGAAAAGGTAAGGGTTGTTGTTCTCAAAAGCATTTTGCTTTTCTTGCTTTATTTTAAATTGCTTCTTGCTGGATCTTTGTGTGAATAGGGATGCACATTTTAATAGTCATAGAAATGTGTTCACAAGGAAGATGAATCAGGCAAGCTTCGTTTCGAACCTATTGTGCTTTGGATATTCCTTGGGGGATATCCATAGTCAGGGTCACTAGGTTATTTATAATGTTGCCAGCACAAAGTATGTGTTATAACTGGTGGAAGATTATCCTGGTTCTGTGGACGTTTACATTACTCGATTCTTTTGGTGTGTGTTTTCACGTCATAAATCATCTTCACTTGATCAATCTATCTTAAAGTAAAATTTTGAAATCATAATTAACAATGCAAAAGTTGGCCATAGTAGTATGCATATTGGCTGACCATGTAGAATGTACTGCTGCTAGAGATAGAAGTTGTACCGATGATCATGTACATAAATTTGTGTCGTCTATCTTCGCTCACACCTTTTCATAAGCTGCACGAAACAGCTGTTCTACCCTTTGGGGCGGAGAACAGGTCCGCATACATCCCAGCCCTCAAAACCCTACCTTCGAGTGAGGTATATTGGGTCGTTTGGTTTGGTTTGGTTTATTTGTGGTGTGTATTTAATGATGTTTTTGTACTTGTCATTTTGTCTTCAGGCCTTGGACATACTGCTTGAATTAACTGCTCCCCCATCTGAACACTCCAAGAGTGGTGAATATCACAACTTAAATGCAAGAAGTAAAGATACTAGGTCTCTTCTAGAATCAAGTAACAGTGTAAGTAACTTCTTTGTGTATCTTAGAAATGGATTGAAATTACATGACTTTGTATTCTGAAGACTTGGAATATTGGCCTATATGTATGGAGTTCAGCTAGCTGGCCTTGGCACAACCCATCATACGCCTTTCATAAAAAACAGAGGAACTTATGTGCTACATAGACTTATTTTAGACTAGCGACTGGCTCCCTTCTCTTTGTTAATAAATTGTCACCATGCTATTAAGTTGTGCTTAGCAGTAAAGTGCTTCCATCAGAAGTCTTAAGATATTTGTTAAAGTAATATGGCAATTTCACATCTATGGTTAGGACATGTTTGGCAGGACTAGAGAGTTCCTTTAGAGTTTGACATTTGCATATAGACAATGCGATCACGGTTTTATGGATTGATGATGCACTTTTCCACTGGATGTCACATCTTCATTTTGTGGGTGCCATTATGGATGTCAGAAGATTAAAAGATGATTACGAGTTCCATCTTATATGTTAGTAGAAATGGAGTTGGGACTCACATTGGAGGATGGAAGAAAATGATATAAATTAATAGGATCCTAGTTTTGGTATGTAGATTTTTCATTATAAAATTTGGATACTTCAACTATAGTTCATTTCGAAGAACAATCTCATAGAGAAAAGTTACAGGTTAGGTAGATGATTCATTATAGTGTTTACATATAGATGCAACATCAACATTTATCGGCCGTCTCTCTACTGCCACTGAGGTTTTATACCATGACACTTTTCCAACCCTGCAATGGCACGTAGCAGTTGCCTTGGCAATGAACTATCGCTTTACTTATTTTTGTGTCTGCGTGCTTAGAATGTACTTTTTGATTGGTGAGAATGTATCCAACTTGGGGGAGGGGTCTACTCCATGGTTGGTAGAATCTAGAGATAGAAAGCATTTTATGAATTAATAGACTTTGGTATTCAATTAGGCTGGGGTGCCGCTTGCGCAGCTACTGAAGTTAGTTCTCTATTGCAGCCATTGGATGCTTTCTGACCTTCGTTAAGTTTAATACACCAACTTCAATGTATATATCACTCTGCATAGATTGGATCTTGCGAAAGTGTCCAGTTAATTAGGCCAGGCAACCATAAGCTAGCTTATTTCTTTATCATATTGAAAAAGCCCTGTCTGGTTGGCCATAAGCTAGCTTCTGAAAAGCTATTTCAAGTAGCATTTCAACAAGCTCCGGGGGATTTTTTTACACTTTTTTCCAATTATGATCCGTCTAATTTTCAAGTAATTTATTAAAATGTACTTTTAGGTCATTTTACCTTGCCCTCTTGCTTATCTGCTATTGTTTGCCGAACATGACTAGTTTATCAGCGAGCTTATCAACCAACTAGTTTTTCAACTATCAGCTAGTTTAGAAGTCTTAGTGTGTTTAGAGTTCTCCTTCTAGTGTGAGATATGATCGCGTGCCTGAAAATGATGCATGGTCGCCATGAATTTTTTTTAGAAATAGGTGATAGTAAATATTCTTCTCTCTATAGAAACAGCCTCTCTACCCCCTTAGAGTAGAGGAAAGGTTTGCCTACATCCTACTCCCTAGACCCTACTTTCGAGTGGGATATACCAAGTATGTTTGTCTTAAATTCTGTCATCTAATATATTCTCATGGCATTGATACCATTGTGGCAGTTGACTGATAGGACATCTGACTTAGCTTCGTCATCTGAAAGTGATCTCCAGGGTAATGTACCATATATGGGCTGTAATGACAGGTAAGAGGTCCTAATTATTAATTGCTTTGTTTTGTATTAATGTCAGCTGATATGAAATGATGTTTTGTTCAATATTTTCTTTGTTTGGGTGGTTTTTTTTTACTTTGGTGCTAATGGAAGTTAGAAGTATTAATCAATTTATTAGAATATTATTTTCTGACTGGATAAATGAACGTTAGATGCATGTTCTTTTTGGCGTAATAATTTGGCAATCAAAATGTTCTACAAATTCTAAGTTTAAATGCTTTGATAATCAGCCCAGTTCGTGCGAATCACATTTAAACACATACGTACAGAAAAGAACATGTAATCACATAGGAAGTTGAAAGCAAACTGTAGGGGTGCTGTCTTTTTTAATATACCTGCAAGTAATAGTGCAAGGCAGAGCTCACACTTTGATTGTTTCAAAAAAATTAAGGATGGACCTACTTCAGAGTTATGTTGTGAGCATGAGCGATTTGGGGTTGTCATGATCCTAAAACCTGTTTGTTTAGGTTTGTGCTATAATTGAATTTACGATCATTACATATTCTTAGGATCACTAAGCATCTACATTGTTGCGTTATTCGTGTATGTACTTCATTTCTCATGCTTATTATTACATATTTGTAAAAAATTGTAATGTTCCATTCTTGTATGTTGTTTTCCTCCATTTCCCATTCTCTGTTTATGGTTCCCATCTTCGCTCTGGAGATCAAATAGATTAGTCCATAATCGCATTCTCCTTTTTGTCATTCCGTATGAATGGAACCCAACAAATGAAAATGCTGAATTGCCAAAATGAATAGGAGCTAAACCATTAGCTTATATCATATCCTTTGGTGTAGAGGACATGTCTGCATAACAGCGTATAGGTCTGCGTTCAACCACCTATGGGATATTACTGGTTTGTTTGCCTTAGCTTGGTTTGGTTTGGTTTGATATCACTGTGATTGGTGTTTTAACCACATCGATGGTCCTCAAACTACATAACAGCCTTCGGTCTCACAAGTTATAAGGGCATGCACACCAGGTCTATTTAATCAGTACTCATCAGTCAAATAACTACTATGAGCTTGAATTAGGTACTCATGTAATCTGAAGGAGCTCTTCCCTTTTTGGGGCAGCTCGCTTTGGGATGCGGAGGAGCTTAGAATTCAACATCTCTGATATGTGCAAATATTCGATTCCAGAGGAATCGGTAACTGCCCAGCGGCCGCATCCGGAGGCGTAGGTGCCTGCGGCTCCCCCGCATTAGGTGCGGGAACCTATGCCGATTTTGGCTGACCGTGCTCCACCCCGGTGTTTAGAAAGCCTTCTCTCTATCTTTCAGCAACTGAACGGCAAATTCGGAAATGAAAGAAGTCTACAATCCATATTGTTGTTGAACAGCTATTCTTAATAATTTTTAATCGAAAGCTCCCTTGGATTATTTGCATGCATGCACAGATGCACTCTGTATTTTTTGCTTGAAGAGATTAAAACATCATATGGGAGGGAATGGGGTGCAGATCTGGTTTATTTTGGTTTGTTCAATTTTTTATGATTATAACACTCCATCTCAACCAACCGCAATGTTCTTCACTTTATTCATGTGATTGTAGAATACACATTTAAAGGGGTGATCAAGATGAGTGTGTGTATGCTCTATTACAGTTTTTCCCTTTCTTGCTTCTTTCTGGTTTTGTTGTCACTTTCTGCTTGCTAGAAATGAATGATTTTGCACCTCTGAGAAACCCAGTGCATATCATCAATATTGTGAAAGTAGTCCACCGGCTTACTTCCACCATTATTTATATTCTATCAGGAATTATTTTGATGTTCTTGCTAATTGTGGAACTCAACATCCGTCTGTCCCGAAAACTCCCTCTGAACTGACTCAGGATGTGTTAGAATCTCTGTTCAATACACGAAAGAGTTCAAAACACGAACCAGACAGCATGAACTGGAGGAATGTAGTAAAAAAGATGGAGTCACTTGGACAGATGTTTGACTGCCCTTCAGATGATACAGTGGAGAAGCAGCATGTTCCTGGTAAGTAACGGTTGTTGGGGAAAGCTGCATATTTTTTAGAAGAGTACTTCTTTAATACAACTTCTGGTGTTTGGTGTTAGAATTTCACTAAAGCTTTCTTGAATTTGGGGAGAAAAGAAATGAAAGGAAAAGAAAGGAATGGAAAAGAAAGAAATATTTTTTTCCATGTTTTTGAACATGAGAGAAAGGACAGGAAAGATGCCATTTTAAAAAAATTACTAGAAGGGTACTCGCACAATGGAGCGAGATACATCTCGATTTTAATGTTTCGTTTTATTCCTTCTCTATAAATACTATAATACTATTTTATGTGGTTTTGAGAAAACGATAATGTTTTTTATTTTTGAATAAATATAAATTGTAAGATATCATAAATTTTTTAAAAAATATATCGACATTAGTATCAAATTAACTATCTAAGACTTATAGTTTTTTGTGTAATTTCTTTAGTTCATTTTTTTATCATACTTTAATTTAAGTTTAATAACTAAGTAATTTATTTTTGGTTTAATAATATAATTTTTTATAAACATAATAATTAAGTATTCTATTAGAACTCAACGATTATCCCAAATATATTTTAGATTTTTTATATTTAAAATGTGATGTTTTTCTTGTATTTAATTATGTTTATCTGTAGTTGGTTATACGAATTCAAACATGGAGCTTTAATAAGTTGTACTTACGCACAATCTACTTGTAATCTTGAATTTTAAGTAATATGAATCAATAAACAATACTCTATGCATAAAAAATGATGTTTAAGATTTTTTTATCAAATGCTTTATGATAAAGTATAGATACCAACCACAAGGGTGGTGCCTGATTGGTTTGAACTTGACTCCAAAGGTCAAAAGTATTAGGAGATCTCATGTTCAAATCCAAGGAGGAATAAAAATCCCCTTCTGGCCACGGAGGTTCAAATGCGGTGACTCTGGGCTATCTGCAAAGCAGGTGGTCGCCCTGGGATTAGTCGGCTCGCATAGCGGGTTGGATATCCAGGTTAATAAAAAATAGTATAGATACCCTTCAAAAACATATCATTTAAAATGAAAGGTCGGGTATTTTTGTAATTCTTAATAATCTTATTAAGGGGTTTCAATTTCTTTCCTTTCTTTTCCTTCTCTTTCCTCCCACATTTGGGAGGAAAGTTTTTGGAGAGAACTTATCATTATTTTCCTTTTGTTCCCTTTCCTTTTTCTCCTGAAACAGTTTTGTGAACACGAGTTTCTTTTACTTTCCTCCCCTCCCCCCCCCCCCCTCATTTCCTTGCCTTCATAATAGAAGTTTCGAGAACACAGCGTAAACTTCGAATGCTTATAGGTTCCTCTTACTATGACTTTCTTTGGTGTGTTTTGTGTGTTTTGTGTGTTTTTAACTGTCTTCAATGAAAAAACTGTTTTCTTTGCTTATATAGGGAGCCTATAGTTGTGCTTTCTAAATATGTTACTTACCTTCCGGATCCTACCTCCGGGTGGGATATACTGGGTCTATATGGTTTTCTTTTACTCTTGATTATTCTATCTTTGCTTGTAGCCAAAGGAGATGATTATCAGACCTACAGGAATACCGCCAGTCAGCACTGGGATTCGATGAAATCCTGCTATCACAAGGCAATTTGTTCTTGTTGTATCTTATTCATTGGCTTGACTTTACCAAGTGTTGTGAGCTACACGTTGTATCATCTACAGTGAGTTTTCATCGTCTTTCTATTGTGCAGGCTGCAACTGCATATGCAAATGGAAAGCGGGAACATGCAGCATATCTTTCCGATCAGGTGTGTGCATGAAAGAAAGAGATTGAGAATGCCCCACCTCTACATGCTACTAACCCGCCATTTTGTTGAAATAAATTCGTAGAAAGTTCTAACGACCAAACTAGAAACTTGATTATTTTATAATACATCCACCTTCTGTTTGTTTGACAACAACTGAATTGGTGGTTGTTTTCACATTTACATTTTCCTGTTATGAGATCGAAGTATTAAACTGTTTTTGCAATTTGCTAAGAAATGCTTATGTAGCGACTGAATTTATGATTTTTGATTCAGGGAAGGATGTACAATGAAAAGGCTCGACAAGCAGATCAAAGGGCTAGCCAGGACATATTCAGTTCAAGGTTGTCACCATAATGGATGAGTGATTCTTCATTTTTTTAATAAGCATGGTATCTGGCCTCTTGCGGTTAAGTGACTCATTTTCTTTGAGCAAGTAATCATGATTACTACCTCTACTAACAACTGAACAGTTGTTATTAACATTAAACTTAAAAACTAATATGTCGGAATTTTAAAAGTCAAAAATAGTATGTTTTAGGTCCCGTCCGGTTTATGGGATTTGGTGGATTTGGAATTGGATTCTATTCCAGTCCCGCGTTTGGTTTAAAAAAAAGTCTGGAATTGAAATCCCACTGACATTGGATTTAGAAAACCCATGGGCCAGTGGGGCAGTTGGGATTTTGTAGGATTTGTTGTAATAACTTTTTAAAATATGTTAAAAGCATTCATTTTGGTAATAATCAATTAATAAAAGGTAGTTTAATTATTTTATAATTTGTTTCTATAAATTATCTATCTATAAAGAATGGAATTCAATTCCATTTCAAATCCTACAAAACCAAACACACCAAAGATTCCAAGTCCTTCTACAAAATCCAAATCCCTCAAAAACATTCCGTCAAACCAAACACCCCTTAGTACATCAAAGTGTCTAATCAAATGCAGACGACAACAAAGTCAGGGAAAGGCTGAATCAAACGGTTTTTTCATGATTGTTGATAATTAGTCTTTAATAAGCATTGTAGAACATTTCCTACGGATTTACCGAGTTTGTTTGGTTTACACAAACAAATATCTGAAACATGTTAGACTGACTTGCCCAAATGTTTATCTGTTAGCGGATCTGACCTGTTATACTAATCGTTCAGATCAATTCACCAAAATGACCATCCACCCATCTTGATTTATAACCCAATGTGCCTATTTGCCTCATTATGTAGCTTGACTACTTACACGGAATGCAGGAACAAGAACATTGAAAATGTGATAACCATCGATCTACATGGACAACACGTGAAACAAGGGATGAAGCTTTTAAAACTTCACCTCTTATTTGGCGCATATGTTCGTTGTAAGCATCTCATTCATAATAAATCATAAACTTACAGATACTTTGCGAGTGTCTTTTAACCAAACAAGTCTTTTTGTCTCTGTGATCTATAGCTGTGCGGCTGTTCAGAGTTATCACAGGATGTGGGAGTCACGGACTTGGGAAGTCAAAGCTTAAACAGTCGGTATGATATCATCCCTTTTCTTTTACAAACGAATATCGCCTTATTTACAGTTCAATGATCAATCATTTTAAGGGTACCCCATATCAAAAACCATAGATACAGATTTCCTCTTATCCAAAATTATTCAGGATAAAGAAAGCCTGATTAGCCGCCGACTTTTGGTTATAGTTGGTTTACTTACACAAATAGGCGAGTATTTGAGTCTGGCAGTTATAGTGTGGGAGTTATAATGCCTTTGGGGATTGTGATAAGTTCATAAGCCAGCCACCTAGCGGGTCGTTATGTACCTGATTTGCCTCTTACATGTTGGATGCTTTCTTGTAGGTTGTTAATCTGTTAGAAACGGAAAACATTGAATGGAAGGAAGAAAATAGAGGAACTCTGCTAATCAAACTGAATGGGCAGAGAGAGTTTAGCTTCTTGGACTCTGATAGTGACACCGAGTAATCGTTTTCTTGCTTCCAACGACCATATGGGATTCTCCGTGTTGTATGATGAAGTAAGCTACGAGGTTAGAGTTGATTCCTTGAGGAAATCATGTTATTGTGACGGTTGTAAATTAACCAAAGATTAGTTTGCATAGACTCAGGATTAGTCGTAAATTATGCTAGTCCTTTTTTCATCTTAACGAACATTGTTTGTATTTATCTATAACTTGAAGACAAGAAAAATCTTTGTTACAGACTCTTTGTCGTATTTTGGTCCTTGGGCCCCCTTTGGTATGCAAATGGAACATGACTGGATTGAACGTGTTGGAGTGAGGTAGGCGGATGAAAGAATCGTGGAAGGTTTTAGGGTTTTAATTTGTTTGACTTTAGTAATTTAACATGCTTATCCTATTTTCCGTTCCATCTATTTTGGTGGGACATGAAAAATGTATTTTTGTCCGACTCCATCATGATCGGTTCCGTTCTAATTGTTGCATCAAATATGGAATAACGAGTTTTTGTTTTGTCTTGTCTTTTCCTACTCCTACCAAATCAGGCTTTTTTTGTTGTTAGCCGGTTGATGGCTTATCAGCAAACAACACAAAGTGTTTGGTTGGAACCTCAATTGGGGTTTCACATCAACACCAAATGGCAATGGTGGTTCAGATCTGTAATTGTGCGAGGATAATGCTTGTGGTGGACCCTTCCGTCTTCTGAGAGTACGACTTTTTGATCTAACATCATATACTTTCCATTACAGTTATTTACCTTCAACCATCACTTTCTGACCATTTTTACATGCATAAAAAATTTCTTCAAAATGAAACTAATATATTTTTAATGATTGTTGATGGTTTGCATTTATGTTTAATGGTGAAATTGTCTTATCAAAATATTACATTCACGATCGATAAATACATAATTTGAGCTTAAAAACCATACATTGATCCATCTTCTTTCTTAGTTGTATGAATGTTTATAAAGTAACGATCTTCAATTTTAATTTTATCCATAACAACATCACGACTATTGTACTTTAGCAAGGCCCAAAAATCTTACTCAATAAACGAAGGAGAAGACTCTTACCCAATAAGCATTTTTACCACAATCCATTTTAATGGTCAAGAATGTTATATGACTAGGTAAAACGGTCATTTAATGATTACATAAACCGTGAAATTCCTTGTTTATTATATAAACTATTTACTTCAATTTCGTATCAATCGTGAAATTAGAAACGAATTGTTTAAAATTCGAAGACAACATGGAACAATCTGTTGCAAAAAAGAATCACAGTTGCTGTTGCAGGCCTTGTCTTCAATCTTTTAAAGGTTTTTATATCTTAAAATTTGATTTTTTCCCGTCATTAACATCAAATACCAACTTTGGTACAACACTCATTCATCTACATCAAAAAAAAAAATTATCAATGAATCGTATATTTTGACGTTACCGATAAATAATAACGCATCAAACTTGGTATAACACTTCATATACACCAAATTTTACACCCATTTTGATATAAGATCTGGTGTCATCAATTAAATAGATTTTACACTAATTTTTATGGATATGGCGTCTCCCATTAGTAATTGTCCATATATAATGTTTGATCAAATAACTCGAGCTTTTTGGTTTACGACCAGTAACGAACCAACGAACGACCGACCGACCAACCAATCACTGTCAGCTCGGTTGGCCATAATGGTAAAATGGGAAACGCTCTGTTTAATTTCAACATCAGAGACGATCTTTGTGCTAGTTTTAAAACAGATAAATGTTGGTTACGTTGCTTGGAATTAACACCAGCAGAACGAAGTTAATCTCAAAAGTTTAATTAGAACACCAACATGAACATAACAAGAAAACTGGTATCGTAAACGAAAAAAGAAGACGATCAAATCCAAGAGTAGAAAGATTTATTATAGAGGGAGCTCACCGCTATCAGCAATTGTAACTTTGCTTTTTGGTGTTCCATTTTGTGTCCCCTCGGCTTCCATCTTGTAAACCACGTCCATCCCCGACAACACCTTGCCAAACACGACATGTCGGCCATCCAACCTGACCATAATTCACTATCCGTTAGTGCAAATCAACTGTAATTAAATTATGTTCGATGATTATTCAAAATTACCAGCTGGTTGTGACCGTCGTGATGAAGAATTGTGAGCCATTGGTGTTTTTACCAGCATTTGCCATAGACAACAGCCCTGCAAACCAAGTTCCAGAATTAATGGCCTGTTTGTTAGAAGCTAAATGAGCTTAACGGGACACGCCGCTTATTCGGTTAGCTATAGATGACCGTTTGGTAGTAGCTTAATGATATAGAAAGTGGCTTATTCAATAAGCTTCTAGGGGTTGCAATCCGGCCAAAATTGTTCGTCAAATTTATTCGATTTTAAACAAATATTATTGTTTAATTGTATCGTGTGTCAAGTTGGTAATTAACCCAGCAATTTGTTGTATTCTTATGAATTGGAATTTACCTGGTCCGGTGTGCTTGATCTTGAAATTCTCATCGTTAAACTTTTCTCCATAGATTGATTCACCTCCTCTCCCATCTCCAAGTGTGAAATCACCACCTTGAATCATGAAGCTAGGAATAATCCTGTGGAAGGCGCTTCCCTTGAAGTGAAGAGGCTTCCCGCTCTTTCCAATACCTTTCTCCCCTGAGATGATTGGCGTAAAAAGAAGAAATTAACGCATATGAGTGAATATCATCTTCTTTTTCTTTTGGAACGAGATGCTTTTGTGTAAGATAGTAACACAATGCCGTGCAAGTACTGGTACAAGTTGTTAGCGCAATGAAATCAATCAGAACTGGAAGTTAGAATATTGAGGGAAGAATATAGTATTAGCATACATACCTGTGCACAATGCTCGGAAATTTTCTGCAACCAAAAGGAATTCAAATTAGTAAAAACATAAGCATTCTAGCTAGAACCACTTTGGTTGTGGAGCACTGGTTACATCTCAGGGAGAGGTAGTGGAAATCGCATCTTCCCTGGGTTCGGATCCAGGCACTGCCTAAGCCCTTGTGACCATGGAGGTTCACCAACGATGACTCCAGGGAAGCTGGCCCGAATACCACGGTTACCCAAAAAGCATTCTAGCTATCTGTCTCCTCCAAACATAAGATGAAAAGAAAAGTCGGAGAATCAGATTTTTTGAGGGAAGCAACCATTATACCTGCGGTTTTGGGAACCGTGTTTCCAAAGAGACCAAAAACGATTCTTCCTGAGAAACAAGTGCAAACAGTCTTTAGATAAATCATTCTAATATATAATATATGGTTTCAAAATCAGGAAAATAGTATTTGTGGAATCTCATATGAGGAATGATGATGTTTGCAGAAAGAGTTCAAGACTATATGCTATTGCCAGCACCTCTCTTGGGTCAGCAAATAGTTGAAGCATGGGTTGTTTTCTTCTGTTTTGTTTTCTTAACACGACTTATTGGTGTTCTATGTTTCTTCTATAGTTAAAAAATAAGACTAGAATCAAGTATATATCATGTATGCAAAGCATGCTAAAAACAAGCCCCTTGTAGGGACACAAGAGATCTCTTCCACACACAATTCTGTGTACGGAAATCGAACAATTCTGAGTTATGTTGGTTGTTGCCAAAAGTTGTATGAAGTAATATAATATAGTCTGATCAGATATGACTGCAAAACTTTGCACTTAGGCTTCAAATATACCCTAAGGTTTAAACAAAAAAATATTTTCCCTTAAAATGCCTAAACAATTTATGTTCTCCCAAGCATGCACATGGGAAGAACTTAGAAAAAAAAAAAAAAAACTATAGCATACCGGCAGGTTTTCCAGCAATCTCAACATCGAAATATACTTTGTGTGTCACTTCCTTCAAATCTTTATCTGATTTCTTAGCCTGCAAAGATGTGGATTTCAAATTTCAGAAATAGACATATCCAATATTTGATATCCTTGTAAGAGAATAAGATAAGATAATCATCAAAACGGATAAAAAATCGTGCAAGTGATATTTAAATAAACTTTTTCGGGGAGATAGCTGGGAGAAAGTTTCAATTCAAAATTCTTTTACTTTCAGCATATAAATTTCATGGTTCAAGTAGAATTTCAGCTAGCGAACCATTAAAATGAACTTTTGAGGGGCTCCTTGTTGATATAGAGTATCAATAGCTAAAAGGTAAACTACCCAGTATGTGATATATAGTTGTATAATATTAATCATGAATGGTGTATCATTCATCCTCAATGGATCATGAATGCTGTAAAATATCCACGTCCATTATTCACGATGAATGGGGCTCATTTTTCACGATGAATAGGTATAGGGACATGTCGCACTCTCTTATGTCCCCAAGTTCACAATGGAAAACAGGTTTGCAACTGAACTCTCCTATGTGTGTGCGTGTGTGTGTGGCAGTTTAGGGGGATAACATGTGCGATAGTTGGGAAAGAATGCTAAGGGAGCTGAGACGGCTATCACTGGGCCGCCATAGATGATATCCTCTAAAGGTCATCATATAATAACCAGTAATACACCATTGTAGTGAAAATATCATTAACTAGTAACCATCAGGGCCATGTTTCTTGCTCACAAAAATAAGTCTTGAAGAATTCAGATTCCAAAACAGTACCACAGGCATTTATACATCACCACATTAACTGTATGACACTATTTAATTGCCGACTATATACCAAAAGATAAATCAAAACAGTACAAGGCAACAACATTGATTAGGAAGAGCAAACATCGACTAAAAAGCATAACATGAAGAAAAAAAAATCAATACTTAGTTTAGCTTTGACTTTTGAAATTCAGTCGTAGTAATCTTCTCACATTAAACTTAATACAAAAATATTTCATTTTTCCTAGCAACAGAAATTGTCTTAAGCTTTTATCTAATTCAAAACAGGAATTAAAGAAAACCAATTCTTAATTGGAGATCAACCCCGTTTGCGAAGACTCTAATTTTCAGGTGGATAGAGAAAAATCAATCGAACTGAACAATCAAGCAGAATGTAATTCCTTACAGAATAAACAAACACTCGATTTACAACTTGCGAATGAAAACATTAAGAAAACAAACGAAAGAAATCGAGTAAAAAGCAAATAGATCTAGTAGAATCAAACAGCAATAACAAATTTAAGATAGATCATATCTAAAAAACCAGAGAGATCATAAATCGCTTCAACGATCAACAAAACCCTGCCAACGAATGTTATTCAAAAAATATGAAATCAAAAAAGCATGACCTCTGTGAGTATTAGGGTTCCGACGAGAAGTAGAGAGCAGAGAAGCGCAGCCGATGGAAACTTCATTTTCGCGACTGTGATTTTTACTCGCAACAGACGGAGTTTGCCGACTGAGCCGTCGACCAGACCAGGTTTATATATAGATTATTGACGTAATCTAAGCAAATAGGATGATGACACGTGTCGGTTGAGGTGCTTCCAAGCATTTTGATTGGTCAAAAAACTTTTTTGTTTGTGAGTGTTAGATTTGAGAATCGGTAAATATTTAAGAAGTAACAAAGTGGTTGTGGTTCTAGCCGTCGGATCGATATTTACGATTTTGATCATCAAACATTGGATAATTCATTGCATGAGTATGCGGAAGATAAAAGGATAGTTCAATAATTTTTAAAAATAGACGGCAAACAGGTTCATATGTGAACCAATGTGATGCACATATGAACTATATATACATATGTGGACTCGTTAATTAATTCACATACAAACTATTTAACTGATTCATATATGAATAAGTTAATTAATTCATATGTAAATAAGTTAATTAATTAATATGTAAATCACATGAGTTTATATGTAAATCAGTCAAAATAGTTCATATTTGAACTACATGAGTTCACATATGAACATACAATTCATAGGTGAATTGATTAGGTTCATATATGAACCCATTTGCCGTCTCTTTGTAAAAATTACAAAACTGCCTTCTTTATTTTTTCATAACCGTAACTTTTAACTAGTTAAAGCCGTAATGATTGACCAACAAAAGCCACAATTATTTACCGGTTAAATCCGATCTTAACTGTATAAAGCATTAGAATCATTTCTTTACTACTCAAATATTTACCATTTTTAAAATAACCTATGATTTATCCAACTAATTTTATAAATGTAATATGTTACCTTGATGTTTATTTTGAGTGTAATTATTTTGTTATTTAGTTTTATTTAATTTAAAATTAGATGTAACAAAATTTATTATCAAATCCTTTATGTATCTTTATATTAATTATTATTTTTTAAATAATCGTAATTTATCAAATGGTTATTTAGTACAGTTTTCTTTTGACACGTTAATTATTTAATGGACGTTGATCAGTTCAGGAAATAAATTTATGAATGTATTTTCATTATCCTTCAATTTAACATACATTAGAAATTTGGGCTTTTGAGGAATAAACTTAGTATATTATATAAAATCAAACAGTTTATTTTACATACAATCTCATTATTGACTGTTTAATACATCTGTCAATAATCGTTTATATATATATATATATATATATATATATATATATATATATATATATATCTCGACATTGGTTGTGCTACACATGAAACCATATGAACATCACGTTTTTATATTTTTCAGATTGAAGAAAGTAACTATTTTAATAAAAAATTCATAAAACTACAGTATTTTTTAAAAAGTATTCATGTTATATACACAAGACACTTGTATAATAGGATAATATTAATATATTTGATTTGAAAAATTAAAAAAAAAAAAATATATATATATATATATATATATTAAGACTGAATCTAAACTTAATAAGGAAAAAAATGAAATCAAACTTCCATGGAAGAAAAGCAAATGAAAGGCTTTTATAAAATTTGAGCTTAGTAGAATTACACTACCATTAAGAAGTTGGTGTTGGAACTTTTAACTCCTGATTTTTCAATTCACTTTTGAGATTTAATTTCCCATTCAATATCTATATATGTTGAAAATATTATGTTGCAATTGATTAATAATATGTTATTGTTTAAACCAACGCCAGGGCCCTAGAAAATAGGGATCGGCAAATATCACCATATAATGTTTAGGTAAAACCCACCCACTTGCATGCGTAACAGGGCTTGGTGACTGACGTTACAATTTATCAAAAGAAAACGACGACATTGGTTTAAATTATTTGTAAAGTTACAAGATATGTATTTAACCAATTATCTTTTACAAGTGATCGAAGAGTTATTTAAGCAAGTAGTATTTTGTCAATTCAAGTGACTAAGGAGTTGTTTACCAAGTGCTTATTGTTTTGGTGGTAAGTGTTTCATAAACAACCCCCAAAATAAACATCGTTGTGTAATCTCTATTCTACCTCCTCTTACCAAATGCAACTAGTTTTAATGTTTAAAAATACGACAATTTATGAGTATCTTATAATAACTAAATCCACAATGTATGTGACATAGTTGTTTGGGCATATAAAGTATGGTCTATTGTAATTTGTTATTTGAATATCACTATTTATATCAAAATCAAGTCAAATCAAATCATACATTAAAAATATAAAAAATAAGTCTTAATATAGATGTTATGAGAAGAAAACTAATAGATTTAGCAAAATATACATGGGTTCATCATTTAGCCTACAGCCAGCGTATAGAAGCCTAAAAAAAAGAGTGTTGAATTTGTTTTGGAATGAGAAGGTAAAACTTTCAATGGTCTAAATGAACAAGTTTTTGGTTGCATGGTAGACTGTGACAATTTAGGAAAGCCAAGGGCCGAAAGAGGACATCAAGTTTCAATTGCCGGGACCGGGAGTGGGTCGGAGGATTAATGTTGGTGGTGTTCCCCACAAACTCAGTCCAGTCCCTAATCTTCGACTTTTACATCGATTCTACACAAGGAAATGGCGATCAGCCTCAAATCATGGGCTTGTTTGCAAGGAAAACCAATCGAAACCCTACCTCCTCTCCTCTGTCCCCCTTTTTGGTGTTCTTCTCGTCCTCCTTCTCATTGCCATCTTCCTCTTTGAGGTATCTATCTATCTTCACAAATTCTTCAAATGGATTCGGATTTCCATTTGAAATTTTCACAAGATTTTTTTTACCAACTTTCTGAAGTTCAAAATCTTGGTGAAAAGATGTGTTTTATGATGTATGGATTGTAATTTTGAAGTTTAGTTCATTGTGGCATTTTGTCGAACAGGTTGACAACTTGGCTACGCAGACCAAAACCATCGTTGGTTACAACTTGAAACCAACGCCTTGGCATGAATTTCCTACCAAGAAATTCAACAATGAAACCAAGATTGCTCGAGCTTCCAAGATCATTCAATGCTCTTATCTTTCTTGTAGGAGGTCTACCAATAACCGGACTCCCTTCACTAATCAAACCAAAAATTGTCCTACTTTTTTTCAGATGGATTCATCATGATCTGCAGCCATGGTCTACATTCTACAACCCGCATTTTGTATGCTGACTTGATGGAAGTCAAGAAGTTTGCTTCCTTTCGGGTTGTGATCATCGGTGGGAAATTGTATTTGGAGTATTATTACGATTGCGTGCAGGGTCGAGCCATGTTTATGATATGGGGACTTTTGCAGCTTCTTAAGAGGCACCCTGGGAGAATCCCAGATGTGGATTTCATGTTTGATTGCATGGACAAGCCTCTTATTCAAAAAGATGCATCAACTAAACCGATGCCTATTTTCCGGTATTGCCCCACGCCTGATCACTACGACATCCCATTTCCCGACTGGTCTTTTTGGGGTTGGTAAGAATCTTGAATTCTTACATGTTTATCGGTAACCAATATGCATATGTGAGCATCTACAGAGGTTATAAATTCATGATCTTTTGACAAGTTTCTAGACATTCTTTGGTTAAGCGCTTACATTCTCAAACTTGTCAGAAGGTCATTGGTTTAAAAGAATAACATGACAGAAGGTCATGGATTTAAAAGTAAAACATTACAGCATGCAATTTAAGGATCCCACATCTACAATTGTAATCAAAGTTACCTCTTTTTACATTGTAATTGCAAGAATGGACTGTGTCCATTCCTTTAGTGGAAAGATAATACACTTTCAGAAACAAGCTTCCAGTACAACATAATTGATTTTATAGGATGTTTAGAATGTCGAAGCGTCATAATAAAATATTTTATATAACTTAAGTTTACAAGACGACACTATAAAGGGTCTTATCTAAAAGTATTACAATAGGTTGTCTGATGCTTTCGGGCGGTTTAACAAGTTTTTTTGGAATGTTTTTAGAATAATGCGTCGTATTCGCTATCTTATAGGAGACTTTTGAGAAATGTCCTATAAAACCATCTTTTTATAGAACGCTTGTGTTTATATGACACTTTTTCAAATAATGTTGTATAAAAATAGCTAATACGACACTTTATTTCAAAAGCCCTACAAAACTTGTTGAAATGTCTAAAAACATCCTATAAACCTATTGTAACAATTTTAGATAGAAGGTTTTTTGGTTTGGTCTTGTAAAGTCCTATAAAGTCTTTTATTAGGACACTTAGATATTTTAGGCGTCCTATTAAGCCAATTTTGATGTAGTGTTCACTGTCCTTCGAACGAGTTGATCATGGCTCTTTTCACCATCAAGTAGGGTGATTGTGTGGAATCCGTCTGAATGTTTCTTTGAAAGAGCTTAAAGAGATTGAAGGTTCCTACATATATACAGATTTGATGATTCGTATCTAGCCGGTGTAAGACTCCACCATCCCCTCTTAACCGAAGTTAGATAGGAATTCACATCGAGCGTGAGAGCCAATTGAATCAAAAGATTTATGTTTGCACTCTAGTACGCCGGCCCCCTAGGTGGTGGTGCTAGACCCTTGCTTTGAAATAATGTTAGCATATGTGGAATACTTTTTTAAATCTCTCTAAAAGAACCCTTAGGTGTCTCTCTCTCTCTCTCTCTATATATATATACGCAATGGTCAAACCTTCATCTTCCTTGACACGTGTCGAGGCGTAAGGTTGTTTAAGTAGAGTACTGGCCATTCTAACTTCTCTGAAGTTTCCACTAACCACTATTGCAATGAACATGTTTTAACACGTCAGAGATTAACATAGCACCTTGGCAAGAAGAGTTTCAAAGCATTAAGCAAGGTTCACAACAGCAAAGATGGAAAAAGAAGCATCCATATGCGTATTGGAAAGGAAACCCAGATGTCATTTCCCCAACTAGAGAAGCTTTGCTCATGTGTAATGACACAAAACACTGGGGAGCGCTAATCATGCGTCAGGTACAGTTTTCCTTAGACGATTAACAAGAATCATCGATTGACACCATGCTTTATGTTCCCATTTTCGAAATTGTATTGCAGAATTGGACACAGGAACAATTGGATGGGTTTAAGCAATCCAAACTATCAAACCAGTGCAATCATCGGTAAGTTAGAATATGGGAGTGATTTAGCATATAGTTCTTAGTTTTTTCACTCCTTTTTCCATCATCTGCTTTGCAAGTTCATAGTTTCTGAAAACCTTGAAAGCTAATCATTATCTATATTCACATGATCGTAAGTTCCTTATGCTAAGAAGTCTTTATGCATCCCTTAGGATTTTCTACTTGTGGAAGTTTCAAACTTAATAGTTGGTTGAGGGTTTTTATGAAAACAATGTCTATACCCTCATAAAAGGTCTTCATGCATCTTAACCCCTAGACTCGACCTTTGCGTAGGATTTACTAGGTTTGTTTTTAGTTGGTGAAAAGTGTATTAGTTAGGCTTTAGCATTAGGTGGTTTTATGTTTGATGTGGTTGATTTGTCTTTCTTCTATATGCAGGTATAAAATCTATGCCGAGGGATATGCTTGGTCCGTAAGCTTAAAATATATCCTGTCATGTGGTTGCGTTCCTCTTATAATCAACCCAAAATATGATGATTTCTTCAGCCGGGCACTCTTTCCGAAGAAAGACTACTTACCCATCTCCCCTGATAACATATGTCCATCCATTAAAACTGCAGTTGTGTGGGGAAATGCACATCCAGCCAAGGTGAAGTTTCATATTTCTGGTTCATGCTTACTATTTCTAGTGTTCCTATCTTCTTTCATTTGTCTTTATGGGTGCTTTTGGCATCTAGACAGGCAGGACAAAACAGGACAAAACAAGTGTTCAGCACTTGCTAAGACAGAACTTGACATTACAGAATAGATACAATGACCAATTTACCTATAATGAGCTGTTTATATTTTATATATTTTGATTAATTTATTAAATTATTAATAAAAATAAATATTTTTATAACAAAATATATCATTACAAAGTTTTCGTGAAGACGATTAAAATGACACCAAAATAAAAAGTTTATGTAGTTTCCAATTTTTATTTAATACAGTTTCTATATTATTTTATTGTTACTAATATTTTATAAATTACATAAATTAACCAAAATATGGAAACCGTATAAAAATAATATTTTGAGGATAGTACGTGAAAGTATAAAAAACGTCAAATACAATAAATAAAATTAAAAGAATCAATAAAAGGTAAAGAGGGATGCACATTTGATGTTTTTGAAGATAATTAGCTTTTATTTTGAGGTTATATTGGTAAAATATAGGTTTGTTCCATGAGGTGGGGGTGGAACACGCCTGTTCCATTTTGTTCCATCCTGTTCCACATAAACATAGAAGTCCTGTCAAACATGGAACAATGATCCCTGTTCTGTTTTGTCCTATCTAGTGTACCAAACACACCCTACAAGAACAATATCACTACTCCTTGGGTAGAGGTAACTTTTGCATACATCCTACCCCCTAACCCTAGGGATTTACTGGATTTGTTTGGTTTGGTTTGGTTTTTATCGTTTCACTTGGGTCATTTTTGTTTCGTCTTTTGCGCTAATAACAGGCGGAAGCAATAGGGAAATCAGTGCAGGATTTCACGGAGAGGTTGAACATTGATAGAATATATGATTACATGTATCACCTGATAGTCGAGTATGCGAAGCTGCTAGATTTTAAACCAACTCGTCCTTTGTCTGCATTAGAAGAGTGTGCCGAATCTCTGTATTGTTTTGCAGACGGACACCAAACCCGGTTCTTAGCAAGATCAGCAACCTTGCCATCACAATCCTCTCCCTGCAACCTCCCTCAACAGGCAAATAGACAGGTCGACAAATTCATAGAGGAGAAAAGCAAATTTATAAATTCTACCCAACTTTTGATGCAACTAATATCTTTACAGACTAATTTGTGATTCTAAGGGTTATGTACTTGTATGTACTATGTAGTCACTGTTTCATGACTAAATGCATTTTCTGTTCAAACTATCAACTTACTAGTTTTGAACAATTGAATTGATTGGAACCAGTTTTCTGCTTCTCGGTCTGAAAGAACACTAAACTCCATACATAAACACAAATACAAGATCAAAATGCAACGTAGTTTGACTCCGTTCCTATTTATTGTAACAAATAATTTTTTTTTCCTCAATCAATGTAACCAAGTTTCAAATCTCCTATTTCTTACCCATTTTGACCGATAACCTTTGATTTTGTAACACGTGATAACATGGATGCAAGTTTTCATCCACTTCATTGTCATAAACGGGTATCCACGTAATCAAATGTTACAAGATCAGTAGGTTACTGGTCAAAACAGGTGCAAAATAGAAAATTTTGAAACTTTGTTGCATCAACCAAGAAATGAAGCCCTGTCAATACAAGAAACCAAACTAAACTAAGTTGCATTTTGATGCATTTTCCCTTGAATACAACTTTGCATAGTAAAATAGGGGAAAGAAAAATAGTTCTAACAAATAAAGTGATTGTTCAAAATGGAGCCTTATCAAAATCACTAAACAAAAAGATTACCTGCAACAGTTGTGACACCCAAACAATGGCTATCATACAAAGGCATATGCTAGTTGGTGCATCTAGAACAGAAATTAAAGTAAACACAAAAACCTTCAATGTGTCTCTAGGTTTATTTCATTTAGGAGGTGGAGTGATGCTGCAATGATCCTGCAATGTAGATCAACATTATATCGAGCAGATGCATTGTTTATCTCAAATGGAGCAATGAAGTATGGAATAATTTGGTAATCAGGACTATTGAAATGGAAGATGAATCGATCTTGGTGGACACAACTTACATGTTCAAGAAGCATCAGTATCAACAAAATTGTGACCATAAGTTTCATATTCATAATCCTTATCAAGATCCTGCATTGTCCTGCCATAAACGAAGTGCTTTGTTCCCATAGTTGTGAAAGGCATTAGCCCAAAGGCCCGAGCTGTCTTTATCTCTCTAGCAACCTTCCTCTGGGCTTTGGCACTGATTTTGGTCTACATGATAACAAAGAAAACATAAGAAATCAAATAGCAACGCCAAAATGCAATTAAGATTTATTTGGTCGACAGAAGAATATTATGTATACCTTGCTCCTCTTGATGATTACTCCAGCCTCGGTTATGAAGTTAGCAAGAAACCTCACATTCTGCATCAAGAAAACACATAACTTAAGTGAAGCCCAAATGAAACTTGAAAGCTAGATCATAGGGATTAGGGGAAGAGGCCAAATGTCAAATGAAACTTGAAAGTTAGATTGTGAATCTATAAGGTAGTGTTTGGCGAGAAGACACGACAGGACTGCATTTGGCACGACTAGAACATGGCTGGACTAATAGTGTCTTCTGTTTGATAAGCTAGAGAGGGCAGAACAAAACTTTTAAAATGATCAGATTTCCCCTAAAATTTTGTTTAACTTTTTTTATTCATATAATAGTTATAAGTTATACAAATTAACCAATTACATAAATAATTTTATGTATAAAATTTAGAGTGAATTACATTTTTCTTGTCTCGCTTTTATAAAATATTTGAATCTAATATTTATATTATATATTTTATCGTGTATATATAATGCACCGAGACATAGGGTCCAATGTCTCGTTGACGCAGGAGAAGTCATGATTGAGATAGGCTTTCATCCGTCAGGCATCATCTCCTTCCTCGCTCATTGACGCCACTGCAAAGCCACCACATCCTCCTTCCAAGATCAAAAAGCAAAAACCACCCTCTTCATCTTCTAAAGTTCTAAGCCCACACAAAGCTTGAAGATCAAAAACCAATACCACCATTTTCATCTTCATCTTCTCCGTTGAAGCATCACCCAGAAGATGTTTAGAAAGATGGCAGTGATGGAGGTTCCGAGATATGGTGGTGAGGGAGGTTTTGAGGGATGGCGATGATAGTGGTTTAGAGAGATGCAGGGATGTTGGTGCCCGAGGTTTTGAGAGGTGATAATGGAGGTAAAACTTTTATTTTGTTATGATTAGGTCAGTAAGATGGTCATTTCTTGCTTTCGTTCAAGGTTAAAAATCTCTACGTTTGTCCCATGAAATGAGTTTTTGTCCCACCTTGTTTTTGTTCCACCTTGTTTTTGTTCCATGTCATGTCAAAGATGGGACTATCAGTATGTGCACCAAATGCACCCTAAACGAGCATTCTGTCATGTGTACAGAGCAGATGCAGAATAGGTAGAAATGTCCTCAAGTTGTATATCTATACCAGCTGCAAAGTTGCTCACCCTAAAATCAGCTTTTTGAAGAACTTCCTCTGTTGTTACTTCAAACTCTGGTCTTCTAGATGGTTTACGAACGCCTGGTTTTGTAAGATCAAGATCCTGCATAAACCAACATTTGTGCAAGAGCATTGAGGTACAAATTTTAGAAAATGATTGCAAAACAAGATATTTGGCATACAGCTAACCACCACAGACAATTGAGTGGAGAATATTTAGAGGATTTGATGAGGGAAAAGTAACTAAATTAAAGATAGTTAGATGCAAGTAACCATCAGTGGAATTTGTATTTGGTATTATAACTTGCTGTACATTTATCCTTTTGTTCTAAGAAAGTGCAAAGGAACCTTTAACAGATTCCATTTTGAATATAATTATGAAGTGAACACATGAGGAACGAGATTAAACCACACGACACACAGAATTACAACATCACTAATACAAAGTAAATGCATCCAAATTACAGCACAACAGTAGTGGGGAAATGAGACAACCTATAGTTATTACTGTGCATGCACTGTAATTGTTGGTTCATCAAATATTACGTTAGAAAGAGAATAATAGAGACTAATACATCTACTTGACGTGGACTACATAATATCTGTTGCACTCATTTTCAACTACCTAAAATGCAATTTCTCCTTTTAAATAAATCTATTGGAGTTCCTAAAGTCTGCTCATCCTCATCTTTTTTTTCTTTTTCTTTTTTTTCTTTTTTGTAGTGGAGCATACAAACGCAATTGAGCAAAAGAAAGAGTGATGGAGAGCCTAAAATAGTTGATAGATAGTTATGATTCGTAGTTCATACCTTAGCATCATAAGTATTACCAGACCAAAATGTTACATCTGATCTGAACTTATAATCATCTTTGTTTACTTCATCCACATCATACTCAAAGTAACTAGCAGCATCCTTTAATTTCCCATCCATGCCATCACTCAAAGTTGTGAAACTCTCATCTAGACCATCCACAGATCCTGGTCTCCAAGAACCAAACAACCTAGAATTAATTGCAGATCTGTCAAGAGCCTTCTTCTGCTGATCCAACTTCTGAAAGAAGGACCTTGAAGTCAGGCTGCTGTCTCGAATATCACCAAAAATGCTTCTATCAAACTCCTCCAAGGTCTCTGATGAGTTTGTATTTGCATCGGTTTCAATAACTGTGCAGAAACAAAAACCATGTATTGATCGATGTTGCAATATGTATGTACAAAATTACCATGCATAAGAGACATGACAGTCAGACCTGGTTGACTCTTACGAGTTGTGTTCCCTGCATCTGCTTGTAATTAATGTATTTATTTACTTCTACTTGTAAAAACTTCTTTGGATGGAGCTTCCAAGATTGTTGGTTAGGTTTTGATTTATCTTTAATGTTATAGCACAATCTGTGAGATCTTCTCAGCCAATCAGACTTTGTAGTTTTTCATGGTTGGAGTAAGAGTGCCTGGTCTCGGTTCTTCTTAAGTGGATTGGTATGTTAGTATTTTATCCTCAAGTTGGCTTGCTTTGCCTTGTTTTACCTTCTTTCTCACATATGTCCTTACTGTTGTTACTGTTTGTTGTCCTTTATAGTAATTTTTTCTATGTCATGCTCTATAGAATCGTTTCAAAATCATCGTTTTTCAAAAAAGAAAACCTTTTTGACAAATCTTCTGAGCCTCTCTTGCCTCTCCATCACTTCTTGAACAAGTGGGGGGTCTTCATAGAAACAGCTTCGCTATCCCTTGGGTTGAAAAAAAGGATGTGTACATCATACCATCCCAAACCCTACTTTAACAGGGTTATACCAGGTATGTTTGTTTTGGTTTATCCCTAGCATCTTGTGTTAGTTGTATTATCTAGTGAAGACTAGTTGGCATCCTTTCCCAAGTTAGGGTGGATAAGGAAAGGAAACGAGCTTTTTTCAGGTTAAAAGATATGGATTGTATCAACACAAGATACATATTTACATATTTTGTGAGGTAACCGAGCATCATGATTCATGATTACATCTTAGATTGTTAATCAAGGGTCGTTTCAAGAATATCAACAATGTCGTCTTCACATGGTCGATTCAATTAATAGTAGTTGCATATTACAGTAACTCAATCAAGGAAGGAGCCTTCTCTCAAGCATATTAAAGCATTGTAATTATGTAATCTCAAATTCTCAATTTGGGATATCTAATCCATGTCTATACAATTTCACTGTTTACCAAAAAATCCAAACATCATGATATCTTCCTGTTAGATGACAGTTTGCGTCTTTCACTTGTATCGTTAGATACAGTTTGCACTCACGGAGTTCTTAGTTAATGTGCATAGGGATTAAGAATAATCGCATTCCAAAGACAATACTGCATATGTGAAGTACAAGTAGCAGATGGATACAAACTGGATGAAGGGTAAGACAACCGCATAGCTGTTGTGGCATTACCCTTTAGATTGGCTGGTAGCCACAGTAGTGTGCCTCAGAAAGTCATTGGGTGGAATAAAATTTGGAAAAACAAGATAAGCTGAATGTTAACCAAGGGTTAGTAGATCATGATTTCAAACAGTGAGTTTTAAGACTAGAACAATAGGATGCTTAACCATCTTGGAAGCAAAAAATTAAATTGTCAACAGTACATCTAGACATGTAGTTGGTCTTTGGTTTCCAGTTTAGAAGCTGAAAAGAAGTGGAATTGGCTTTTCTTAGGAAAATAGTTCTGTAGAGCATTGATGAATCTCAAAAAGAGATGACGGACGTTACAGAAAGCAACAGATACAGAAGCAAAAGAAGCACAAGGGGTATAAGTACTGTTGGGTACTTAGGTTTGTGTTCAAGCAAGTAAATAAGTTTAATCTGCTATCAAAATTAATATTAATTTAGACATCCATATAGCTTAATTTATACTTGTGGATGGTTAGGAACATATCTGAGTCTTGATGTAGAACTAGACCATCATGATGCATGAGGGTTCCCAGTCAACTTGATCACCCGAAAGGGGAAGATGTTAAAATATATCAAAATTCATTTTACAGGATACAACATAATGCAATAGAAAAAACCACCACCACCACCCAAGTACCTGAAGCACTACTTGTAGCCAAGGTTCTGGTGATTGAAAACCCCTGGCAACTAGGTGAAATGCCAACTGCAAGAGACCGTAAAACACCTTGAACAAGTTTCATCTCTCCTACGAATACCAACCATACATGTTAGTTATAAGAGGTATATCTTCTAAACCTATAATTAACAACAAAGTAAGATCAGAGAGGTAGGATGTATTGATGAAGTAAAAGATACAATCCCTTAACCAAGGGGTGTACTCCATTTTAGCTATAAATAGAATTTAGAATGAGTTTTTCGTTCAGCATTTTATCAAACACTTGGTATGCAACAAACATGACAAGCATATCAATAATCCATACGGCGTGTTTAGCCTAGTCTGCACATATGATTTAAAAAGAAGAAAAAAAAAATGGGTTCAAAACCCCAACATTCATGGATTGAGGAAAACATCAAACAACTTTGAATCAAGCATACATAAACATAACAAGGAAGAAGAAGAAGATGACCCTAAGGCTTAAACTAATCAAATCCATTAGTAAACACTACATCCAAGAGATCTACAGAGAAGAAAGAGTGAGAGTTACCTGCTTTTGGAGATGGCGGAAGCTTAGCTGAGATGGAAAACGAAGAAGGAAAAAGAATCGGCGACAGAATTCTTTCCGAGCAAAAAACGGGTTCTAATTTCTATGTGTAGTGGGTTGGGCCGTCTTTTCTGAATAACCCAACAAAGCCCAATCTTAAGAGTTATTTGGTTCGGTAAATAAAAATGAAAATGAAAATGAAAATGAAAAATTTTAGTTTCAATAATTCATATTTTTTGTTATTTAAATATTATAAATTATTTTTTGTCCATTTAGACATCAAATTCTCCTTTACGTGCCATATAAGTAGGAGCTGGTACGGAAGTTTGAACTTTTGTGTTAAGTTTAAAAATAAGTTAGTTTATGGTCTTAGACTTGTGGGGCAATAAATCCATTATATTATTTAAAATGAAATGCGTTTTAGGGAGTGTGTTATCTCCAACAGCTGCTCTATAATAACGAAAAATCAACTTTTTATTCTCTATAATACTTCAACAACTTACTTATCTCATTCTCTAAAATAGAGAATCGCGAAGAAAACTCCAAATATAGAGAATTCTTTAAAAATCCAAAGAGAAAAGAATTAGTTTTTTATTCATCTCGTCAATAAGGATTGAATTAATATCATTTTATATATATTTCAAAAAAAATGTATTTGTGATCATAAAATTATAAAATATTTAAATAATATAATTAATGATAAAATCTCTAAAAATAGAGAATATGTTGGAGTTGATAATAATTCATTTTAGAGATTTTGACTTTTAATTCTCTATTTTAGAGAAATTATGAAAAAGTTACTGAAGATATTTTAATGGGTTTATGTTCCGCTACGATAAATCATAGTCCAGTAACCTAAGGAAAGAAGAGGTGAAATTTTATTTTCAATCCAATTAATTATTACTTGATAATCAAATACCCTCTTACAGAATTACATAGTTTTATAAAAAAAAGTTGTATATATATAATAATAAATTATAAGTTTGAATTTTAAAAGATTTTAAGAATACAAATAATAATTTATAACATCCATGATCGAAAATTGTTGGTTAAAGTTTTTTTTATGAAATATGTCAGATATGGTATCAAATAAAAAAGTACTTGTTTTATGGATATATTTTCTTTAATTAAAAAGTAATTATAATGAAGAAAATAAGGTAAATATATGGGAGTTCATCCTCTGGATAAAAGTAGACGTGCATAAGGCTCGGGATTTTCGAGTCTAGACATGAGCCTTTTAAGTCCATTTTTTAAGCAAAAAAAATTCGGGGTTTTTAGGTTTGACCGAGCTTTTGGGTTGAAAGAGAATGCAGTTAGGCTTTTCAGCGTGGTTTTTTTTCGGGTTGTGTTTTAATTGGGCCATAGAAAAAAGTTGATTTCATCGGGCTCTAAGGTCTGATATGGGCATAGCCGCATAGGCTCAAGAGTGCTAGGTCTAGTTGTTTTTGGGTCTGACTTGAGCTTTTATGTGCATTTCTAGTTACTAGAAGGGTATTCGTGCTATACATCAAGACACATCGATTTCAATGTTTCGTTTTATTCTTTATCTATGTCGATATAATAGGTTTTATGTGATTTTGAATAAGCGATAATGTTTTCATTTATGAATAAAATATAAATTTAAAAATATCATAAAAATTTGAAAAAAAAATATATCAATATTAGTATCAAATTAAGTATTTAAAAGTTATTGTTTTGTGTAATTTCTTTAATTCAAATTTTTTTATTATAATTTAATTTAATGTAACAAGGTAATTTAATTTAGGTTTAATAATATAATTTTTTTAAATAGATAATCATTAAGTATTCTGTTAGAACTCAATGATTATCCTAATTATATTTAAGATTTTTTATATTTAAAATGAGATGTTTATCCTGTATTTGATTATGTTTATCTACAGTTAGTTCCACGAATTCAAACATAGAGCTTTAATAAGTTGTACTTATGTACAATTTATTTGTAATCTTGAATTTTAAGTAATATGCATTAATAAATAGTACTTCATGCATAAAAAATAGTTTTTAAGAGTTTTTGTCAAATGTGTTATAATATAGTATAGATAAGTTAGTTTTAAAAAGTTGCACATATGTTATAATAACATTCTAAACATAAATTCTACAACATTTGAATTAATAAACGATACTTAATGTTCAATAACTTGTTTAAGAGTTCTTGCAGTACTTTCTAGTATAGCAACGATATACATATATGAAAGCCCCTTTGTGTAAACAATTGTAAATGGATTGCATGAATCGGTTGGAGAGAATAATACTTGATAAAAAAGCAAACATCCGTCCAATAAACAAATTTCAATTTTCAAAAAATGTATCAATTCAGTAAGTTTCCATTTTGAGAAACTTCCTATTTCGAAAAAAAACTATTTATTTACGGAACTTTATCAATCAAGAAATATTAACTTCTGAAGCAATATAGTTGCTAAAAAGCACTTGGCTAAAAAAAGAAAATCTACTCAGCATCCACATCTTGAACCATTATGTGTTCACTTTTTTTTATTTGATTGTTGGGCATATTTGTCAAGTCTCGGTGTCACATCCCATATCTTAGAGTTTGTCACGATTTACAACCATACTTGTATCGTTGAATAACATCGTAAATAAGCTTATAAATATTGGAACAAAATATTTAGACATAAAGCTTGTTTAGACTTAACGTCTAACGGATACTCCGTTGTACATCAATAATATTTCTACACCATAACATACTCAACAAAAACATAACACGATTGATCTTATAATAGATCTCGACTAGACCTGCTCTTTCCCCTTGTCATTACCAACATTGTCATATATTGAGATATATGTCATTGGTCAATTAATAAACTCAGTAAGTTCATTAGTTCTTTGTGGGCGAGTTCCAAAACATGTAGCAAAATATGGAAATTAAGAATAAGCATGATAAGGCCATACAGCTTCATGTGAAATTTCAAAATGTAATGAGACAATCTATGTTCGTTCAGCCTCTCTTGACACTCTAGGACAATTTGTATTATGTACATACCCATCCTGCCTTTGTTGGAAGGGTGAGCTGGAGTATAGCATCGACTATAGTTTTACTATTTCTCCTTTATATATGTTGGAGTCTCGTTTGATCTAAAAGCTCTTTTAGAGAGTAATCTAGGATTTCCACATATTATCACACTATTTGCATACGTGACACCAAGGAAGGTTGAAGACGACCTTCTTTGTAAATTTACCTGTGAGCTCCTGAAATTTAGTCTTGTTTCCAAGTTAGCGAGCAACAATGACGTTAGCATGTGCGATGACAGAAGGACAACGATGACACAAGGAGGATAGAGAGGATGAGACGACACTCAAGAGGCCAGGTAGAATGATGACTAAACCAGAGGGGACGGCATGCAATAAAGGGGTGGGTGGGGGATATAAGTCGTCTGTCTCAAATTTGGTTATTTGTTAGATTGAAGATCAAATTAAATGACATAATTGGCAATTTATCATTTCTTGACATTATTTTGGGCATATTTTATGCAAATAAGTATAATATAAAATTAACAGTTGATTTTGATTTTCAATAGTAGTTTTTATGATTTTTTTGATAGATTGATAGGCTTTAAAAACACTATAATCAAACGAAATTAAATTGACAGTTCTATACGAAAAAAGTCATACATGATCACACATTTTAAAGGTTTTGAATGTGTTGTAAATTTGATTTCTGTTACTCGAAGTCGTAGTCGTTAAATATGTAATAATTAGCAAATTCAATACAAAATAGTCAGCTATTAAGAGACGAATAAATAGTTATTATAATAAACTTGATTTTTTAAAGAAAATATAAAATTACCTGATTAATCTTAAATTTAATTACTTTGTTGCAATAAACATCAATATTTACCAAATCCCATTTTTATTTTGGTTTTATGATATTTTAAGGTTGAAATAATTAATTTTTGAGAAACAAATAAAACACCCTTGTAACAAAATCAATTATTTTGAGTAAAAATAAAAATATATAATTATCTACAATTTTCAATTAATGTTTAAATAAAATTACATATAAAGACAAAAGTGCTGAAAAATCAACTAATCTTGGCGACTTACGATGAAGTCACTTGATATCTAATCGAGTTGCGAAATCTTCGAACTATATGTATTGGGTTAGGGTCATTTGAATTCAATCTAATTCGATGAACCTGATGCATTTCTATATAATAGATTTAATATGATTGCTAAGTTCATAACTTATATATATATATATATATATATATATATATATATGGAAACGGTCAAATGCAAACCACTCAATTTGTACAAACCGTGCAAACTTCATTCATATAATACTAAAGAGGGGAGGGGAGGGGAGGTTGTATTAAATGAAAGATTATTATGCAATAAAAAACCAAATCCGTAACAAATCACAAACTTCATGGACCAAATCCGTAACTTACTCTATAAAGTATATTAAATGAAAGAGACCACCTTCTTGTTTGGGAGTGGGTGTGGCCGGCTTTCAACTTTGTTTTCCAGTGTCTTTCTGCCCAACCACTCTATCTTGGCATTGCTAACACCACCCACACCCTCAGAAATTAAAAAAACACAGCCCCTTTTATAACCTTCCACGTCACCAGTACCTTGTATCTGATCCGTCGGTAACCCAGTGAAAGTCACAGGCAACTCAAGGGAAAAAAATACTCCACGTCCACGTCAGAAGATGTGGGGCCCAGTAACAAGAAAATGTATGACGCATGACGAGGATTCACATCTCTCCACCAGTCCGTCGTTGTATCAGGCGTCCCTTTTTTTTTCTTTTGAGAACACGTTTTTTTGTTAATTTTCTTCCATTTTCCTACTTTTCCTTTCCTTTCATTTCATCCACAATAAGTGATGGAAAATAATCCATTTTGAAAGCAAAAATGTTATCTGATAAGGTAAGTAAAAACATATCCAATACAATATTCTTATAAACAAAAAATATAGTTTCTTATAAGAACCAACATTATAGAGTTAAAAGAACTTTATCTTCTTTGAATTCTTGTATAAAAACATTAGTTCTTACCTTGAAGTTAGTGTGAAATGATATTTTGTTATTTTTTTAATATACTTTATTGACTTTTATGTCCTATATAACAATTAATATATATATATATATATATATATATATATATATACTTATCTAAGTTATATTATACACGAGACCCATGAAATGAGTTCTTTGAAAAATTTCCATTATGAATTAATTTGGTGCGCCTGAAATGACTTGATAATAAAAGGTACAAAAAATGGGTTCTTACATGAACCTCCATTATAAATGCTCTTAAGGGTGGTGTCTTTGGTGTCAATTTTGTACCGGACAAAACCAATGAATATGTGTATCAACCGTATCAATTAAATTGAAACTAATTAAATTAGTACTAATTACAATTTATTGATAGTATCGTGCTTAATATGCAAACTTAGATGGTACACGATATTAGAAGTTGGATACCACAGTACCGACTTATTTAAATATCTATTATTTATTTATTAAAAGAACATATACATTAAATTAATTAATTGTAAAACATAGTTATTGATTTTTAAGTTTTGTCTTACCTATTTTTTTTTTTTTTGATATTTGACTGTTTGTAATTTTATTTTATTTGCAATTATAAAACCTTTATACATGATATTTTATTACCTGCAAACTCAAAATATCACTCAAATTTTGAATGAAATGATAAATTTTCATATATGTAACTTGAAGTTGGTATAAAATCAATATCCAAGAGAAAATATAGGTACCATGTATAGTTGGTTGGTATACGATATAAATTTTTTATGTATCAATTATAATTAGTTGACACACGGTATTGGAAAAAAAAATCTGTTATCATACCTAGTTCACCCCTATATAATTATTTGTAACCAGAAACATTATAGATTTATTTTACCCTCATCTTTTATGATGGTAAATTAGCGGCCAATCATGCCTTCAATTGAACGTTTGGTTCAAAATGTAGTGTTACTATGATATTCTTTTATTTTTGATGGAATAAAAAGACGTGATAAAGTTATTTTGATTTTAAGAAACTATGTATGATTGTGATTAGCTGTAAAATCTAACATAATTTACCGGATTATTGGAGTTTTTGAAAAGAAATAAGATGAATGCAATTTGAACATCGACTAGCAGGGCTTATGACCACAAAAGAAAAACGAGCAAAACAAATATAAGGGTATATTTGTCAAAATTACATCTTTCCTTTCATTCCCCCCTTTTCGAGAATACAAAGAATTATTTCCTTTCCTTTCTCTCTTTTTCAAGAACACAAATAAGAGTTTTATTTTCCTCTCCATCCGTATTTAATAATTAACATTGACGTGTGACCCCGTTGGTTCACAATCTGTTAAAGAAAACAAGTTGTATAACATAAACATTCAAAATAAGTGGCTCGATGGTTTGTCTTTTCAACCGAGTAAACCAAAAAGTTGTTCAATTATTCATTTGTTGACTGTAAAGATTGAAGTTTCTTTCTTTGGTTGTTTTCATCATTAATTTCTTATAATGCAATTTGAGATTTTTGTCGCTGTTGTTATTATCTTGTACGCATTTAGTTGTTAAAAGGGTTATTTATATATGTAAGTATAGCCGTTTGTTATCTTGCGTGTTTTTTATTGTTACGTATCACTGATGATTCAACCCCTATTTAATGAGCGAGCCTTCCAACTGTAAACTTTATTGTGGAACCTACAATTACAACTTGTAATGAGATTAGTCTGAACGAAGTATGAGATAAATGAAAAATCGTTGTGAGAATAGAAGTTAAGATGAAAAGTGTAAGAAGAGATTTGTACCATTGATCCGATGTATCTTATTAGTATTGATCTAGTGTTCCTCTTTAATTAGAATTGATCGAATGATGAAGATCTCTTCTTATCATTTTCATTATAACTTTCATTATCACCGGAATCCAGCCCGTTTGAGATAACCCATTTCCGGAAAGAAAAAAAAAACTTTATCGAGTCGATAAACACTTCCATTTAATAAAAGTTATATAAAGATTTTTACATGAAATAATGTTTCAAATACACACACATACAAGGTTGGATTCCAGTGAAAATAAAAGTTATTGTGAGAAAGGTAAGAAGTGATCTCTACCCTTGGATCAATCCTGATTGAAAATCAACACTAATGTGTTCAATTCCCGTGATAAGCACTATTAATTGGTGGGGGTGAGATTAAAAGTGATTGATAATACAGATCCGTTTTTACGTTTCTCACCTTAACTTCTATTTGCGGGCTTGGGTGAGACCTGGGTCGAACTTAACCTATTTTTTTGTTCAACGAGTCTAACATGGTAAAACCAAGCCCGTTTTTACGGGCTTGAAAACTTATCCATACCCCCCTATAAACGGACCGGGCTTACACCTACGCGTTAATGGACTTAAAAATCTTGTTATATTTTTATGAAAACAAAACTTATATAAAATAACAAGTTATGTAAAATAATTCAAAATACATAACAGTTTTTCCAACTTAAAATTTGGCGTAAATACATAACAATATACATGCTTTAGAAAGGAATTTCGCTAAATATACAATTATTAATGAATAAAATGACTAAATGAGATAATAAGGAATTGATCAATTGAGGTACTTATATTTTCAAATTTAAGATTTTAAAAAATGTTATTATCATGAGTCATAATTAAGTAGAAATTGATAAGTATTAAGAGTTCTCAATTTTATCTATAAATTTTAATTATAAAAGTTATTTTTTTTTCCATTGTCCATTTCCACCCATTAATTTTGACAAGTCAGTCCAGCCTCGCTCATTTATTCGAAAATGGTATATAAGTCTACTTTTCTAGCAAGACGGACATGACGGATCTAACGGGTACATATACACTCATGTAAATATACATATGTCTACATCTACGAATGAGATTCGATTGGAAGAAAGGTGTAATGGCATGACAAGGATCCCATATTACGTCCAAATGGCCGTCTATCATCATCATTTTAAGCATATTAACGTTTTTGTTTTTCCTGTTAAAATAATTTATTTAATTATCGGGTAAGATTTTAGTCCACCAGAAGACATCATATGCAATAATTTACCCGGTAAGCGCTTACTATAGTAAGAGTCGTCGTCTTCACTTGCCGGGTAAGACTCATGGTTAATATCTCAGCTTGATATTTACCGGGTAAGATTCTTGATCTTTACCATATTCATCCGGTGAGTTAATGTCACTTAGTAAATGCTTACCCGGATAAACATTTGATAAACGACCCTTAAAAGACAAAGTCGAAGCCAGACACACAATCGATGTTTGTGACACGACCATCCTCCTAGTTACTTAAATCAACAACCTAATAAACCGACTCTAAAAACAAACGTTCTTAACCCTAAATCAATTATACTGAATGGGTAACATGTATTTTGAAGATCATCAAAGGAATCATTCGCCCATCGGGAACGCACATGCAATGCCAGATGCGACTAGTAACTGTTAATAGAAAAGGGAATTAAAGACTAAAACAAAAAACACTGGTGTGGTAAAATCAATTGATATTTTGATTTTTTTTAAATGTATTATTTTAATAGTGGTACATGCAATGAACGGGTCCAGTAACATGAAAAACCAATTATTTGTGGTACGGGGTTGGATTGAATAGGCTCATAAACATTTTCTTTTATTTGAGTTGTTTAAATAATTTATGTGAGATAAGTTAGTCTCAATTATATATTATTATTAACAGTTTCGTACTTTCGATGAATTGAATAGATAAATATCACTATTTATTAGATTTTTACAGTTTACTAGTATTTTACTTTATTTTAAAAAATTAAATCACTATATTAACATTCGTTTTTTAATCTCATTTACTATATTAATATTATTAACGTCACTTACTTTTTTAGAGTGAACTACAAATTTGATTTTTGTGGTTTGTTAAAATAACAATTTTCATTTTCACAGTTTCGAAATTACAACATGATCATCATGATTTATAGATAAGTCCAGATTATATCTCTCTTTTTAACAACTGTTAAAAATATCTATTAAATTAGAGGCATTTTTATTTTTTTATTGATCTTTTGTCTTAGATCTGATCATAACTAAAATCATAAAATCGATTTTAATTGAAATAAAGACAAAAAGTTTGATAAGATACGCAAGTATCCTTATTAATAACAAATTTTTATACCACTAAAAAGAAAGACGAAATTAAATATTTCCCCATAAATACAGATTAAACGCATAAACGTGACCGAGAATTTCATCCAGCCGGTGGCCGGTGAAAGATGCATCGACACGTGTCATGAGAAAAACAAAGAGCCGGTTGACGAATAAAACTTTGATTCTAGAATTTTCCAATTATGTGGGCCCAGGCTAAATATACCAACCCTTTCCAAATTTGAATCTCCATTTCATTTGCATTTGCATTTGCAATACAGTTTCATTTGGGAGGGAAATAAGATGGAAAATCATGAAGAAAGACGCTTTTGAGTTCGTCTTTTATGACTCCAACAACCGGGAGAAATCATCTTCAGTTTAAGCCTTTTCACTCAAGAAATCAAGGTGTGTTGTCTGTTGATTTGTTGTAAACTGTTTGTGAATTTGATTATTTAATGTGTTGATTTCAGTTCCTATGGAGTATATCAAATAGACTGAATTTGATTGGTTTGTAATCGGTAGAGGTTAATTTCAGTTCTCAATCGTTTATGTAGATATGTTATTTGTGCTTAGGGTTCTTTTGATTGAGAATTTGTGGTTTTTTATGATGCTGCGATTGTTTGTTCTAATTTTACTGTGTTATTTTGTAGGAAGAGAGCAGTTGATTCGCGAAGCGGTCTTAAGGGAAGAATATGTGTACCAGCGATTTGGTTGTCGGCCTTAGTAACGGTCAGAAGCTTAGTAATATTTCAATTTTGCTTGAATTATCGGCTGCTGATGATTTGGAAGGATTTAGGTTAGTGGTTGACGAAGAAGGTTATGATGTTGATGATTCTGGTTTGTGGTACGGTAGATCCATAGGTTCGAAGAAGATGAGCCTTGAGGAGAGGACACCGCTTATGATTGCTTCCATGTTTGCTAGCAAACAGGTTTTGAAGTTCATTCTTGGATTGAATCGTGTTGATGTTAACAAAGCCTGTGGTTCCGATAGGGCAACTGCTTTGCATATGGCTGTTTCCGGTGGCTCTAGTTCATCGATTGAGGTGGTCAAGCTTTTGATTGATGCTTCTGCTGATACCAGTTGCCTCGATGTTAATGGGAATCGACCTATTGACTTAATTCCTTTGGTGTTTGGTTCTTCTTTCAATTCAAAGAGGAAATTCTTGGAGCTTATGCTAAATGGTTACGCTCATGGTGAAGAATTATGTTTGTTAAATGTACTGACCGATGATCATATTCATATCCATGGCGATGAACGGAAGGACGTCCCCAACTTGATTTCATCACGAGAAGGGACTGAGAAGAAAGAGTATCCAGTCGACCTCTCTCTGCCGGACATGAAAAACGGGATATACAACACAGATGAGTTCAGAATGTATACTTTCAAGATCAAGCCATGCTCGAGAGCTTATTCTCACGATTGGACCGAATGCCCGTTTGTTCATCCGGGTGAGAATGCTAGAAGGCGAGACCCACAGAAGTATCATTACAGTTGTGTCCCTTGCCCCGAGTTTCGGAAAGGTTCTTGCCGCCATGGAGATGCTTGTGAATATGCTCATGGGATTTTCGAGTGTTGGCTTCATCCGGCACAATATCGAACACGTTTGTGCAAAGATGAGGTTGGCTGTAGCAGAAAAGTTTGCTTCTTTGCTCACAAAACCGAAGAGCTTCGCCCACTGCACCCTTCCACTGGGTCTGCAGTACTTTCTCCCCGACCGATGTCCCTTAAATTGTCAGATATGTCATCGATAAGTCCTTTCTCTCTTGGTTCTCCGTCCATTATGATACCTCCTAGTTCCACACCGCCAATAACTCCCGGAGCTTCATCTCCTGGAGGTGGGCCTCTGTGGTTGAATCAGCCATCCCCAACCCTAAAGGTTCTCGGTAGCAGGTTTAAGACTACCCCAAATAGCCAGGATTTGGATTTTGAGGCTGAAATGATTAGGGTTGACCGATATCGTCAACAACAACTGATGGATGAATTTGCAGGTCTATCTCCACCATCTAGCTGGAACAATAATGGTTTTCTTGGTGATCGATCAGAAGATTATAACATATCTACTGGATCAAACCACAAAAGCCTCGAGCTTTTATCTTCTGCAGATCATACAATCTTGTCTCAACTGCAGGGGGTTTCACTGGAATCAAGAATTGCTCAACTACACCAGAACATGAACTACTCTGGACTTCCATCCTCACCACTGCGGATGTCCTCACCATCATCCTTGAGACCCAATCAGATCATGCATTCAAGATCCGCTGCATTTGCAAAGCGGAGCCAGAGTTTCATTGACCGTGGAACAGTCAACCGTCAGTCTGGCTTTCCGTCACCCGTGTTATCTTCTATGGCGCCTTCCATGCATTCAGATTGGGGGTCTCCTGATGGAAAGTTGAACTGGGGTATCCAGAAAGATGAGCTCAACAAGTTGAGGAAATCCGCTTCTTTTGGGGTTCGTAGATCACCCGATTCGTTGTTAATACCCAACAATCAAGAACCCGATTCACATGTGAATAATGTTACATTTGATGAAGAACAATTTCCACCATGGGTGGAGCAGCTATACATGGAGCAGGAGCAGCTGGTTGCTTGAAAAGTGTTTACTTTCTATAACCCTTCTTTAACATGATTTATGGTTCTTATTCTGTGAACTTGACTTCTATATGTGGAGATATCATATTCACAGATGAAGATACACAACACAAATAGTTGATTTGTTTGGAGAGATTTCAGAAGGCCGAAACCATCCATCTGATCATCTCATCATCATCATCATCATCATCATCATCATCATCATCATATTCTTTAAGTTTTCGTTTTCATTTTCTTCATGTATTCCGTATTATTATTGTCATTGGTTTCATATTTCACTAAATAAGTTACACGGGTAACCTATAGAGACTTGACCTCGTAATTTCTTTAAGTTCTCTCTTTGATGTTATTAATTGTGTATACGTTGATCTTGTTACAACTTTCATGATCAATATAAAGTTGCCCATTTTGATTTCTTTTACTTGTTTGTTATGTAAGTATATGTATATTTTCTATGGGGCCGTTTTTGCGTAAGAATCTTGGCTGAATATTCGTTAAAGCTTATGCTGTTTTCGCCTCAATGTTGGTTTCATATGATTGAAAGTAGGGGTCGAATCCAGGAAAGAAGGCCTTTTGGGGATGCATTGAGAATACAATGTGACATCTCCGTCTCATTACTTCTCTTTCACAAATTTAATAATTCGAATAAACTTACAAACTCAACACCAACACGAGAAAATGAATGAGAAAGTCTGTTTGAAACAACCCGAAATCCTAGGACCTAATCCAAAATCACCTACTCGATTGACAAGCATAGCTTTTATAGCTACTTTATCTGTTTGAAGTCGTGTAAACAATAAATGAATTAACAAATATGAAGCAAGACCTACTCCCTCCCMTCCCAGGATTAATTGAAGAGAGTTACCTTCGGTCACAACAGTGGCATAAAAAAGTTTTCATGTGGAGCTGTAGTGTTGTTTCATATGTGAAACATTCAAAACCGTTTTTTGTTTCATACACAACAATATTGAACCTTTCACACATAAAACATTGTATAAAACAGGATTTTTATGTGTTGTGAAATAATACATGAAAAACTTAGTTGTACGTTTGTATTATTTATTGGGCTTGTAAAGGATTATATATCTATTTACTCTCTTCAATAAAATGACGATGTATGTTGAGGAAGGAGTTGATTGTATTCTGGAACATGTTATAAAGATCCACATGATAGTTTTTGTAGTTCGGAGGTGATGACATGAGTATAAACCAAATCAAACTATTCTATATCTAAGGTGGGATGGTGTAGGATGTATACAGATTTAATCTTTATTTTAAGTATGAGTGTGTAAAAAGTCAACCTGTCCATTTAGAACTGACGGACTGTAATTGGATCGGATCAGATTTAAATTTTCAACATTCAATTTGGATTTGTTGGTTCTTGGATGGCAGTCCAGAACCAACCAAAACCGACCGAATTGAAAAACATCCAATTAATCATCAAATATCCATCCAATTATTTGTTTTCAATTTGCTTAAATTAGAATATGTTTTGTGTTGGTTTTTGAACTTTTAGCCTCATTTGTGTTGGTTTTAACACATATTAAAAATGATTAATCACTTTGTTTCATTGTTGGAAAATTGTACCGAATTTACACACTGGATGATTCAATCTAATCATCCACCGGATGTTGAATGGATCTGATCGATCCAATGAATGTCTAATAAGAATATCCAAATGAATGGAATCGAACCGATCCGATCCAATCATTCATTAGATTGGATGAATTGGATTAGATCGGTTGTCCAATATTAATCGGATTGGATCGGTCAGCAAAATCCAAAATTCAATGGATAGGCTCGGACCCCCTCAGAGATGAGCATGCCTAATCCTATCTAGTGGAACGGCTTCTCTTTTGCTACATTATTAACAACTCAATAAATTAAGTTGATAAACTGTGTAACAGTAATCACTTTACAAGGATTTTCGTATTTTTCAACAACAATAATTATTAAAAAAGTCAAATAATAAAATAACATTTAATACAAGAATATTTTAACAAGTGAGAGCCTTCCATAAAAATGGTGCAACGAGTGAGTAGGGTTGGTTTAAGGATGACATGTGTATGGATTTGATTAAACAAGAAATCAAGAATGTAACTACTAATACTTTGGTGATTCTATTTCTACCATGTGGCTTTGGTTTTATCAGTTTTGTAACACACATCTTACAATCTCTATACATTAATATTTTATCATAGCTAAGCTCATTATAAAAATAAAATAAGCCTATACAAGGGTATTTATTATCCATGTATTAAAAGAATAGGATTTTTATTTGTGATTTTTTCATATCCATTTCTATTTATGGTTTCTCACTATCTCTTTATTTTATTTTACAGGTATTTAAACAACTCAATTTTGAAACCTGCCTGTATAACTTTGGGGGGTTTATTCCAAGAATTGTTGGTGGGTGGATGAATGAATAAGTTGTCGTTTTCTTAGTTTTAATAGTTTTGACTATTGGAGGAAAAGAACCGGAAACGAAGATATATGATTTTTGTTGTTGCAAATTATTGTTACCATATTCTTGTGTTGCAAACTAGTCTTAGTTTTAAACGTTGATGCTTTATTGTTTGATTTCATATTATTGTTATCATATTCTTGTGTTGGGTTGGGGGTAGTGTCATCCTTGACATTGGCCCTGCTTCGGGTTTGCAAATAAACCCCTATTACCTGCCAAAGCGATGGGTAAAATTCATTTTTACAAGAAACCATGGAGAGAGCGTTATATGTCCACACAAACATTCATAATCTGTTCTTGAACGTTGTCATAATTTGTTCGAAAAAAACACAAGCCTTAAAAGATATATAAACCGTAACCGTAACTGTAACTGTAACTGTAAAACGGAAAATAAAATTTGGTATAATAAAAACAGTCTAAAAGATGTATACCAACTCAAGAAGCAATTGATCAAAAATTTGCAACTCAAACTCAACATCTTCAACCTCTTCCAACACCCCATTTGATGTCTCAACCACAAGTTTCTTCTTCTTTGATCCATCATACTTCCAACTCTCAACATCCTCTGGCAGTTTCTTCCTCCAATTCCAGTTCCAATTTCTTTTACCTACACATGTAAAAGAATTTTTGATACAGTGATGGAGAAAAACTAAATGGAAATTTAAGAATGTCACGTTTTGTTCTTTCTGGAAATCAACAAAATCAGTAACATAATCTGTGATCGAGTTCTTGGGAGTCTTACCTTTACGACCTGCTTCGAAACCAACCACAAAGAATTCCCCATTTTCGATCTCTAGAACCATCGGAGTTTGACTTCGGGTGATCGAATTCCGGCGATCTTCTTGATTACGATCCAATCGAATCCTTTGTGGGATTGAATCCAATCCCATTAGCTTTGCGACAACCCCAGGATTAGTAATAGTGGTGGCACAAGAAAGCTCTGTAGGTTTCTTGATGCGACGGTGTGTTGAATGACCACGAAAGCACGGCAGGCGGTGGCGGCGGGGGGTGGCGGATTTGAGACGGGATAATTGGGTTTGAGATTGAAAGAATTTCATGGTGGGTTTTGGATGAAGATTTGAAACATGGATTGGCGTGGTGGGTATTTGAGATGAAAAGGGATTGACCACAAAAGATGAAAACAGAAAAAGAGGGTGTGGCGGGATGCCATTTGAATGTTGAGGGAAAACGTTTTAAAAAATTAAATATTTATGGTGCCTTATTTTCTAATCTATATATATATATTAAAGGAAGAACCAAGAGTATTGAGGTGGCATCATGAGAATTGAGTATTGAGGTGTTGGTGAATATATATATTAAAGGAAGAACCAAGAGTATTGAGGTGGCAT